AAAATTTCCCTAAGTTGCTCCCTGTCAACATCACCTCCTCACTTTCACAGTCTAGCGCACTGAATATTATTATTATTGGTTCAGTGACTGAACCAGCCTTACACCCAGTTGGAGAAAAAAAATTGCTTTATTGTTTTATTTGCTGTAATGTCTAAACCAGGTCCATTAGAAGCTGTTAAAGTGGCTTAATATTTAAACTTATTAAAGGACTGTTTTTCTCAAGTCCATTAATTCTCTTACGAATCACAATGTCGGCAGGCATTGGAGGGTCCTGTTTAAAAAGATGGGAAAGAACTCAAGGTAACAAAACAAATAATGATAATAATCCTTGTGTTTGATACATACTGCACCGTACCGCTTCACCAACATGTTCTCAAAGAGCTTCACAGAATATACCGTCAAGCGGAGAAAGACTATGTGTTTTGTAGGCAAATGTTGACCAAGACAACATTATATTGTCCAGGAGAAAATTAGAGATCTTTAAGCTGCTCTAAAGGACAAGTAGGATGCTCATTCCCCTCCTGAAGGCATTTGATAATAATAATTTGGTCATTCAATCCACGACTGTTTGTGAGACGCTGCTGTGCTCAATTGGCTGCCGAGTTTCGCCTAAAAAATATGCAGTCAATTCACTTTACAGAATATTCTGTGAAGCGCTTTGAGATGTCTCAAAGACGTGATAAGGCACTGTATCAAATGCAAGGATTATTATTATTTGACCCATTTTTCCGTCAGCTGGGGACACAGTACTACAGGTATCCTAAGTGTTAGTCAGGCCCAGTCAGTAGCATTCTCGCCTCTGGGACAGAAGGTTGTGGGTTCGAGCCCCATCTAAGGATTTTGAGATCACCACCTTGAATGTAACCTCTCCGACCTACTATCCCCCTACGTACCTGCCCGTACCCTCCGTTCCTCTGGCTCCGGTCTGCTCCACATCCCCCGTCCTGTTTACCACAGGTAAAGAGGAGGCAAAGTGGAGGGATTGAGGCAGGGAGTTCCAGTCTCGTGGCCCTCAGTGGCTCACGGCAGATCTACCGATGGTGGAGAGAGTCGGGGATGTGGAAATCCCCCCAGCCGCTCAGCAAAAGTGACAGGTAGAGAAGCGGGGTTATGAAGAGCTTAGAGAGGTTGGGTGTGCTGGTGCAGGAAGTGATCGTAGAAAGTGAATGCCACAAAGTATTAAGCACAATACCTGGCATCAGCCAAGGCTCAAGGTCGCGAGAGTATGCATTGGGTACTGTTGGAGTTTAATAATAATCCTTGCATTTATAATACAGTAATAATAATAATAATAGTTTCCTGCAAGAAAACAGATCTTAGTAAAAGTTCACCAGTTTAATTTTGTTCAAATATTCCAATAAACTTTTTTTGGCCACAAACAGAGACACACATATAGCCACCGCAGTGGAATGAAACCTATTCCTCTATAACTTTCCCTGTACACTTGCACGAGTTCTGACACTCACAAGATCCTGTGTCTATCAAAAATCAGTATTGTGCTGGCACTGCATTCTTAACACAGTTGTAAATGTGGTAGTCATTAACCGTAGTAACTGGACAACTAAAACGTGGTCAATCATTTCACTAGGTTATTTATAAAATTGCACACTAGGTTAATTCAATGGAAAAATGTTGTTGGTGGTGGGGCAGGCCAGAAAGGGCAGGGAGGTGGGTGGGGGAGATGGAGATAGGTTCCCACAAGCAGTCGTGGATTGAGTGATCAAATTGTTTTTATTTATTTATATTATTTTTTTAAATAATTGTTATGAAGCACTTGGTGATGTTTCCATGTGATAAAACACTATCAGAGGGAAGGATTACTGGAGAACTTTCATTTTACAGGATCTCCTGAAGGCAACATTGAGAAGCCATGGGTTTAAGATAAAACTTCACAGTATATTCTGTGAAGCGCTTTGAAACGTCTCGAACACGTGATAAGGCACTATATCAAATGCAAGGATTATTATCATTATTATAATCACAAGAGGAATGAAAGGGGAGTTTCAGGAGGAGGGTAAGTAGTTGGAAAGTGACATTCTCTGCCACAAACCATTGTATGATTGCAAAAATATTCTTTTAAAAAGGAATTAGATAGATGTCTGAAAGAGGAACATTTAGAAAGGTTGACCAACTATTGACTATCCTCCTTGGGGGGGGGGGAGGGAAAAAGTAAGCTGAGATTCCTTTGAGCTGAACTGGCTCCAAGGTGACAATAATAATAATAATCCTTGCATCTGATATAGCGCCTTATCACGTCATCGAGATGTCTCAAAGCGCTTCACAGGATATACTGTAAAGTCGAGTGACTGTGTATTTTGTGGATGAAACTGTTTGGCAACGGAATGTCAGAATCGAGCCAACCCTCTGTGGTGGCCCCGATAGTCCGGTTCCTAAAGCAGGCGGGTCCACAGTATCCAGAGTACGGCTGCTGACAGCTCAGCCACAGTCTGGCTTATCGGCAGGATTTGGAAGGGCAGACCAGTCATTGCACAATGTAATTTTGTTGTTGTTGGGGCAAGGACTCTTCTCACTCAGCTTCTATTAACCCTGCTAGCCAAAGCCCTAACCAGTAGGGTTATCCTAGGGAGGATTTCTCAAAGTGTTTTATACAGCTAGCTGGTCACCCTAATTTGGGGCATCTATGGCAACATGCAATGCCGTTTAAGAACATACGAATTTGCTAGGCAAAAGGCCAAGGTCCATGCAGTTTGCCTTCCATCATCCTGGCAGTCGTTTGACATGTTGTGTCCCAAATTATACACTGTATCCCGAGATATCCCAACAGAAATCAAATTTGTCCTTGAAAGGATCAATACTTTCTGCTTCCGCTGTCTCCCTCGGGAGCCTGTTCCAATTTGAAAGAATACTTCCCAATGATTATCTGACATTGGGTTAACCTGCATTACGTTACGCACATAAACCAAATTAAAATGGACAACGGGAAATATACGAGTTAAAAGGTGTAGTGCCCGAACTAGACTCCAGATGTCAGCATCGTCCCATCAACGCTGGTTTAGACGCTTTGGGTGCTGAATTGGGCTTTTGATGAGATTTCACCCCAAAATCCTGCTCGCTATAATAATAATAATCTTGCATTTGATATAGCGCTTTTCACGTCGGGAGGACGTCCCAAAGCGCTTCACAGAACACACTGTAAAGTGAATTGACTGTATATTTGTGGGCGAACGCGGCAGTCAATTGCGCACAGCAATGTCCCACAAACAGTCGTAGATTGAAAATGACCAATTTATTATTGTTTTGGGTTTTGGAGGGATTATTATTAGGCTCTGTGTGGAGTAAGGAAACTTGCCCAAGGTTTGGCCCTCTGCCTGGAATTGAACTCAGGTCTCTCACTTGCAAAGCGAGTGCTCTAACCACTGAGCTACAGGACTCCACGATCTTCATTGCCTCAGCACATTGACTGTTTTCAGCTGATATACTCTTATTGCAGACTGATACCTTATTCCAAATTTATTCTCCTTATTCGATCTCCACACTCTACACAATTTATGCGTTTTCACAGAACGGATTGACTTCAAAATCCTTACGCTCACCTTCAGATCACTACACGTCGAGACACCTCCCTCCATACCCCACTGACCTGCTCTCGCACACAACTCTTCTACCCACCTTTGCTCAACCGTCCCAAGCCTTCTGCGCAATCCTTCAGTTAGTGGCCGCGCTTTCAGCCAATACTGCCCGACCCTCTGGAACACCCGGTCTCAACCTTCCACTTTGCCCCATTTGTCCGTCTTCAGATCATGTCTGAAGACTTTCCTCTTCAAATAGGTCTATGGTCACCTCCTCTTTCTCCGCGCTCAGCATCAAACATCAGTGTTAATTCTGAGACGCTGCTGTGCGAAGGTGCTATAAAAATACAAGTTGTTGCTGTTATGCAGATTGGAATCTAATACGTAATATCTATAATAATAAACATTTCATTTGATACAGCGTCTTATCACGTCTTCGACATGTCTCAAAGCGCTTCAAAGAATAATACTGTAAAGTGGATTGACTAATTTGTGGGTGAACCGTGGCAGCCAATTGCGTATAGCAGTGTCCCACAGTTGTATATCTAACATAAAAATCTTTATCAAACCAAGAATTATTGGCCTGCAACAATTTCCAACTAAATTTGTTAAAGAAAGCAGAAGTACATCAATCTGACTCACGGGATTTTCTGGAGTTATCCACATTCAAAGCTAGCTTGTCGTGTATGACAATTTTGGTTACTATTAGGAGTCTCGAACTCCGCTTCCTTAAAGAATGTCAGAAAACACAATTAGACCCAAGTAAATGACATTTGATTAAATGAGTTACCCAACTCACCCATTTGGCATTATCAGCAAAGCTAATATATTGGTTTCTTACATCCAACTCATTTATGTACAAAACGCAAAATACTGCAGGTGCCTGAAATTATTTATGATTTATTCCATTCATTTATGTACGTTTAGTGTAAACAGCGTTAGACCTAGTTGGGTCAGGAGTCAGAACCATGGCTGATATTACCTCCCTGGTCCAGGGGAGTCGAGACCAGGCAGGCTGTGGTGTCAATTATGCCGTACTTCAGATTAATGTTAAAACATCCTCAGGTGAAGGTTAACCTCATAACATTTCAGTCAGTTTCTCCCAGTGTCATGGTCAACAAATCCGTACAGACGTGTGTCCTCCAAACGTGAAACGCCCTCTATAAATGTAATTTTGTTGTTGTGTGTTGTTGTTGTACTGTGTTTGTCTGCAAATACAGTCTGCTTGCCATCCAGCTTGGCCTTTGGCTTGCAGGCTTAACAGGAGCTGAGTGGGAAGAATACCAGTCTGCCCCTTTAAGTCCCGCGGGCTGACTGGTCAGTCATCAGACATTTATTGGACTTTACAGTGTTCAAAATGTCTGGCGAGAAAAACCATCAGTATATTTGACAGCAATTACGTGCTATCAAAATGTAACTTCTTCAGATCTTGTGAGACATGTGAATAATGCAAGAACAAATACAAAGAACTGCATTTTATATATTTTTTTAATAATCGGAAAACTACCTGTAAAAGAGGATATCCTGGAAAAAAATGTCTGTGACAAAACTCCAGAAAGTTCAATATATAAAACAACTGAAGTACATCAACACAAAAGTTTAGGTAACAAATAAGAATTCATACTTTAAAGACAATTATCAGTGAATTTGAACACATGAATCATCATCATACACGTCTCAAGGACAACCTGTACCCCTTCTCCAGAATGATCCGTGCAGCAACACAGCAGTAACAATTTTCGGGCTCCTTCAAATCATAATAATAATTGTTTTGTTTGATATAGCGCCTTATCACGTCTTCGAGACGTCTCAAAGCACTTCACAGAATATACTGTAAAGTGAATTGACCGTATATTTTATGAGTGAAACGCAGCAGCCAATTGTGCACAGCAGCGTCCCACAAACAGTCATGGATTGAGTGACTAAATTATTATTATTTATTTTTCAATAATAATTTTTTAACAAAAAAATGACACTCCTAATGAAGGCAAGACATAAAACTTGGTGTTAGCTGCTGCAGAAATGATTGGTGATAGCACTTTGTGCATAGTAATTGCCAGAGACAAGGGGAACAGTATTAAACTACTTCTGTGGCAAAGGCTTTGCAACAATAAGTTCCTTGCTCCACCTGCCCCCACCCCCAAAAAAAGTATAAATAAATGGCTGTTTTTGGTACTTTGTCCTGGGAAATGTGCATAATACAAAACTACAGCTAGAATTTGGGGAGAAAAGGGGGCCCGGAAAACATCCTCACAAAATATGTTAAACGCAAGACAAAATGGAAAGATGCAATGACAAAGAAAAAAATGACTTTGGGCTGAGGGGGGGGGTGGGAAAAGAGATGAAGATTTTAGTTCCAGGTGAAGCTGAGAGGATAGCCCAGGGAGACCAAGGAGATTTTCCTGTCCCTATCCGCATTTCCGCCCAACAATTGTTCGTAGACAAAGACGTCAGGAAAACACAAGCGGCTTTTGAATGCTTAGGCTACAAATGCATTTGTATGTCAGTATAGCTGTGGATTAAAATTGCTTTCCCAAACTGAAAGCGATCCCGCAGCACATGAGAAGAGGGTGAGCTGGGGAGGGAAAGTAACACAGCGTATCTCCTCTCCAGTATGTAGTAGCTTGTGCAAATTCACTGCCGCCTGAAACGTAAATATAAAGCACCAAATGAGACTTAAGCATATTTGCCGTTGTGTTCCTCATCATCTTGAATTTAATTATATTGATTTGTTTTGGTAAATTGTCAGCTTTGGGTTGCGTTACAGTACAACGCAGTTTACTCCTGGCAGAAAAGAGTTAAATGTAAATCTCACTCTCCCTCCTTTGAGAGGGCCAGTAGAGACCACGATCCTTTTGCTGCAATGTAATACCCGGAAACAAAACTGCGGTAACCTTTGCCTGCACAAAAAAACCCTGCAAAGAGACGAACAAATAATAAGATTGAAGGCTATCGGATGACATTAAATAGTATAAAAATCATAGAAAACTTGATTTGAGGTAACACTTGTGTAGTTAAAGTTAAGAGATGTGGCAATGGGAAATGGGCGCATTTGCGGGTTGGGGCAAGAACTGGTAATAATGTACCACCTTATTCTCACACTAAAAGGGGCGGCATAAACTTTTTTTNAAGTCAAAATAAAGTTGTTTCCTCTCCTGTTACAGCAGCACAGAATGATCCCTCTTTTCTATATGACAATGAGATTATTCCATCCCCAGCTAACTCAAACATCACACCCGACTATGTGGGGAATTACATATAGAAGCAGAAGAAAACTGAAATGTAGTCAAAACTCGACATAATTACAAAAGAAATATTCACGCAACTACAGGAGACCTGCCTCCTATTGGATGTAGGGTGGTAGTGGGGGGGGGGCGGAGGAGGGAGAGAAAAAAAAATCAAAGTGGGAGAAGATTGAGATGCAGAATTTAATTAATGAGAACTCTCAGTTAAGGTTTATATTGGTCTATAAGGCAGAAAAATAAGGATTTTATATAGCACAATAAAGAAACAAGAGTGGCTGTCAATACAGAACTCTTCACGTACTTTTCAATTTCTATGCTGTTGTCTAATTAATTTTAAATCAATTGCAATTGCGCCATTTTGAAACCAAGTCAAGTGCTTTCAGTTTGGGGAAAACAATACACTTTTTATGGGCAATTAACAGCTGAAACAACACATTTTCCCTCGCAAGGTTATCGAAAACTTTGAATACAGCTGGTTTGGGTTGAAAACGTACTGGAAATAATGAAACGATGGCAAACAGTCATCAAGAAAAATGATTAAAGGTTTCTTCAATAGGTTCAGTTGTTTGAGAATGCCCAGCCCACTATAAGGCATTCACTTTAAAGTAAAACTCACATCTTTTAAAAATCGTGATAGAAACAAACTTATCATTCAACTCTAATCACGGGGCAAATATCTCTGGAGTGCAACCCACATCGTGTTCAAAATGTTTTCTACCCATACAGAGCTATAAAAATTTAGCAATATTGGCTCAATTGTGATAGCACAGTGTTCATTCAAGTATTGATCACCTTTGTACTGAACTGATGTGGCAAAGCATGTTTATTCTAGTTCTGCTGTCCTTGCTTTGTTGTTGTGTCCTAGAGTCTCTCCCGTAGTCACGGTTCAGGCTTTCCTCATCAGAGCTTCTTTTTCTTAGCCTGCTCCGCTCTTGCCTCACGTCGGCTTCAGTCTCTGAATCGCTCAACTCAACATCAGGACAATATCCGTCATTATCGTGGTAAGCAGCCGCGGCTTGGTGTTCAGAGAGCTGCTTGCTCCACAAGCGGTCCTTGGTCGACCCCCTCCTCAAAGACTTTTCAGAGTTTCGGAAATCTTCTGAAGTCCTCACTAAACCATCCAACCTGTCTTTGCCAGGTTGGCCAAACTCTCCCACTTTAGATTTTTGGAAAGTCTCCTGGTTGGCAAAATGGCTGGCAAGAGTAGTCACTTTGTCACAGGAGGTTTGGCTGGAGTTGTCTCTTTGAATGACAACACCAGTTCTGCCCATGAGACCATTTGATTTCAGAAGCCCTGGGTTACTGTCTCGCGACTTTCCGTTAGAGTTGGATGATTTTCCGCGGAGTGGTATATGAAGTGCCGACGGCTTGCCAGAGGACTGCGCTTGATGACATTCAGGAGGTATCACGGAACCACCAGCTGGAACATTCTGCCTGTGGTGGCTCCCAGTCAGTAACAGCCCATTGCTCCTGTCCTCGTGTTTCGACCAGTGATGAGACTGTAACTTCCTTTCACTGAGTCTGGGGTTGTGTTGTGACGTTGACAAATTGTTCTTACTGTACACACTGCGTTTATCAGAACGTGGCCCATTGCTGGCAGCAGGAGAGTGACTGGCGTCATTTCCTGTTTGCTTTTGCGCTTTCAATTTGATTGTGATTCTAGGAGGATTGTGGAATAACAATCCTTCCAGTGGGAATGACATAGGTAGTCCTTAAAATTGAAAGAAAAAAAATTGTTACGCCTGAAGATTTAAGATGATTGGCAAAAGAACCATAGGGCAGACGAGGAGAATTACTTTTTTTTGAAAAAAAATGTTTACACAGAGTGTTGTTACAGTCTGGAACACTCTCGCCTGAAAGGGTGGTGGAAGCAGATTCGATAATAGCTTTCAAAAGGGAATTGGATAGGAACTTAAAAAGGAAAAAAATGACATTTATGGCAACATAAATCATGCAAAGCTTTACAAGTGCAAATTGCTGGAGGGGCAGCCAGAACTCTTACTGAAAAGCATACCCAGCAAGTTAGGAAAGGAGAAAATTGGCAACAACAAAAAAAAGTCGCACCAGCCCTGGATTGGAAGACAGCAACCACAATTCCAATCTAACCTCAGAAGCTGAATCCTAGCATTTATGGCTTGAGAATGATGAAATGAAAAAGTCGTGCAACAATTACAAAAGAAACTCAAACTAACTAAAGATAATAAAAATAATTCAGTCAGTGGAGATTTAGAGGAAGCTCATGCCCACCTAATTAGTTGGAATGTTTGCAATCTTAAAGGAGTTGCCGGTATTATTGTTGACCCTTGAAAAATATTGTCCTCGACACAATGCATTAACTCACTACACATTTAATATATATAACACATGTCAGATGACCAAACGGCAACACTAAGGCACAAGCTGGTACTTTTCAAAAAAAACTACAGAAAAATGTCAAACTTCAAAAAGAAATAAGAACCCCAATTTACATTTATGTAGCACTTTCACTCAGGAGATGTCTCAAAACGCACCCGAGAGCCCGAACATTTGAGCATGGGGAAGTGAAGGTGGCCGAAGGCACGGTCAAAGGATAGGTCTTGAGGCACGTTTTGAAAGTGGGGAGGGAACTGGCAAGGCAGAAAGCTTCCCACTGATGGCAGATGGATGGGGGTCTCACACCCGGGGTGGGGAATGGGGGGAGAAAAAAGGATACAATATAGAAGAACAATGTTGCAGATGTGAGGGAGAAGAGCGAGTGACATCAGATTTTATAGCAGATTTTAATGAGTTTGAATTAATTCTTTTAAATGTACTCTTCTGCAAAGCCGTACAGACAGATATATCACCTTTTTTGAGTTAAAAACAAATATTGAAGGAATATCCAGTATTCAATTTTACACTGTACAGTGCTCTTTTATGGAGAGAGTACTCGAGTCTCTGAAATATAACCTTACCCGCAGCAATTTGTTGAACATGCAGGTTGAAGAGCTGTTCCTGCACTTTGCTCTGAGACAGTTTCAGTTTCTCTCTCCTGCTCACCATGTAGCATAGATTTCTCACCTGAATAAAACAGCAATTTTTAATGAATGCTTCCAGGTAACCAATTCACTCTTCATTTCAACAGGAATCTAAAATCTGGTGTAATAGTTAGTTATATATATATATATATATATATAAAAAGTTTACTATAGTCAGTTTAAGTTTACTTCAACAATTGTACATTTTTTTTTAACTGGATGTAAACCACACAAATGTTCCTGATCAATACACAATATAATTGGAGTTGAATCTATAGTTTGCTCTCAATGATTTCCCTAGAGTTTGATTTCTAAACTCTGCTAACAGGTAAGACACCAAGGAGAAGGCAGGCATTTTCCCTGCGGGTAACAGAGAGGGGAAAAACAAACATCAGTTCAAACAGTCCTGCTGCATCTCTCATGCACCTGGCAGCAGACTGTACTGCAACAAAGCCGCAGTCTGAGCAGACATTCATCAGCTTGTCCTCACAGCTGGAGAGGTGACTAGCAGAGAGAGAGAGAGAGAGAGAGAGAGAGAGAGAAGAGGTTCTTTCAAGTGCACCCAATGCAGTAGAGCGAGAAAACTATAAACGCAGAGAACACTCGTGCAAAATAACTGATTATCAAAGGTTTCCGATAAACATTAAATCTGGATTGTGAATGTCAAATGCATCACATGTGTCCCATCACACAGAGGATACAGTTCAAGATTTTGGTTCTCACTTTCAAAGCCCTCCATGGTCTTGTTCCCCCCCTACTTCTGCGACCTCCTAACCCCCTACCATGCCAAGGGTCCAAAACTCTGTCTGTCCAGTGCCTTGGGATGTCCTCCCGACGTGAAAGACGCTTTACACATGTAATTTTAATATTGGGAGTGAAGCTGATCTTTCAGCAGATCATCGAGTGGTTGTTGAGAAATCAACCCGGCCAGACCAACGTGTATTTTTTCAGTGGTGAACTTTCTTTTTTCCTTAGTCCCAAACCGTATAAAATATAGAATTCCCTGTAGCTTCTGACTCCTACTGGTGGGCGTGGAATAGCCTGTGGCCGTGGAATTCTCTGCTGTTGTCGAAGCCGAGTCTATAAATTCTTTTAAAAGGCACCATAGAATCCAGACAGCTGTTTGAAAGAGAAGAAACAGGGAGGGGTGGAGAGCGGGATTGGGTCAGCTCCAAGTTGACCCCGCTTATCTCCACTAAAGAGGACAGCATTGTGGCTAAAGTGCAGAAAAGCAGCAATGACCCATTGGGCAAACATGCTGTTTCTGTAATAATAATCCTTGCACTTGATACAGCGCCTTATCAAATCTTCGAGGCGTCTCAAAGTGCTTCCTAGAATATACTGTAAAGTGAATTGATCGTATAGTTTGTGGGCAAAAATACTGTATTGTAGTATTCTATGACTTTGTATAACTGGACTTACTAAATCCAACAGAAGGTAGCTGTGAAATAACCCTTCTACAAATATACTTGGGCGTAAAACTCAATGCATCCTTCAACATTAGATAAGCACAATTTAAAAAAACACGTAGTAAAATATAAGAGCTCGAACCCTCTCCAAATCTTGTCGAAGATGCATAAACATCTTCATTCGGGAATGGATGCGGTCTTCCTTCTGCTGGCCTGTGCAATTCTCCTCGTCCTCTCTCGGGGGCAGCAGCGGTTTGTTGAAATTGCTTTTTCGCTTCAACTTCCAGTACTCAAAAATATGATCCACCACCCGCTCCGAAAGATGTAGTTCATTGGCCACATAGGCCACTTTGACTAAAGTGTAAAACTCTTCCTCCAGTTCCTGAAGCTTCTGGGCACGCAAGCCTTTCTTTTCCGTCTCCGTCTGTTTGTGCTTCTGCTCACTGATCTTGACATTCTGCTCGGATTCACCGTCCTGAGTTTGTCTGTGCTTACTGTGCTTCAGGCAGTAGGATTTGAACTTCACCTCATCCCCATCATCTAGAATAGTCTTCATCTCCAGACTGTGTTCGAAAGCACAAGTGACGTGAAAGGCTGTGATGCAGCTCTTCACTGAGCACTGAGGAGAGAAGCATGGGATACAGTAAGGACACAGTAAGAATATTTTTTAAATAGCAGTGGGAGCTTGTGGCAAACTAAAACACGGAAACATTTCTTTTTGATTTCACAAACTTTTATATTTTTGTACTTTAGTTATATTTTATGGTGTTGAACCATACCCAAATCCCTAGCTATTATAAACTTACGTTTGTATAGTGCCTTTCAAGTCGGGAGGACGTCCCAAGGCGCTGGATTTAGTGTATAGGGATTTACCTACACAGATTTACCTATAAACTACATCTCTTGCTAGCGGACTTATGGGGGTTGGGGGGGGGGGGGGGTGGAAGTGGGGAAAGAGAGAGAGATCTGGTCCAGCAAGGTGGAATTTCCAGCTAAGTGCAGTTACGACCGGTAATGCATTTATTGTCATTTTTCAGCACTGCAAGTTTTTGTAATTTGCAGATATTATGTTACACTAAGCTGTCTTACTCACCAAAGCAGGCCTACACATGGACACGGTGAAGGCTCGCGAGGACAGTGAGGCGAGAGGCTGTGGAAATCCCGTGGGCTGCTCAGCGTGACACTGACTCATGTTAGGAAAGTTGAGCTAGCAAGAATCTACGCAAGGGCCCATGGAATTCTCAAAATAAAATTCAGTTGCAAGGTCTGGATACCTGGAACCTAGTAAGGTTGGGTTTACTGTAATTACGTTTTGTTGAGATAATGTCATTGCACAATAATAGCAGAAGATTTAATGTATAGGTAAATCCAGCGCCATGGGAAGTGCCTTGAGAAACCCTCCTGACGTGAAAGGCACTATAATGTAATTTTGTTATAGGTAGGGATTTGTGTAAGCGTCTCAAGTGCTTTGAGATAGCTCGACAACCTGATAAGGCACTATATCAAATTCAAGGATTACTATTATAATACAATAATGTTCAATTCACCTGAGAACCATAAACATTGTAACCATTCAGGGTTTTTTGGGGGAATCTTTTTTCAGACTGCAAACAGTTAAATGGATATTTTCATATGACTGGACGTTTTGTCAGGAGTGGAAGCCTTAAGTGTTACACCATGGTTACTATATTGTGCATAGCACAAGAGTGGCTTCTTAATGACAGAAAGCTTTGTTGCTGCTTTCACACACTATCAGTATTGAGGAAAGAATTTGTATTTCTATAGCACCTCATCACTTCCACAAAGTCTCAAAGGGCTTTACAAGAAATTACCATCAAGTGTAGCGAGGGTGGTTTGTAGGCAAATGTAGCAGCCACTGTGCTGCACAGCAAGGCCCCACAATCAGACATGAAGTGAATGACTGATTTTATCTGGTGGATTTTTGGCCAGACAGCAGGAGAAATTCCCTTCTCTTGTCACACAGTGTAATGGAATATTTAACGTGCACCTGAGCAGACAACTCAGTTAAATATCCTATCCAAATTGAATGCTTTTCCAATAATAGTGGTGTGGTGTTTTAGACCATGGGCTCAAATACCAATTTGTGGTTTCAACCCAGAACTTGTTACCAACAGAGCCAAGCTGACACCTCAAGATTTACAACGTATGACAAATTAAGTACACAAGTAAAAACTTACTACTCCATTGCAATTATTTTCTTTTTTTAAAAAAGTGACATGGGTCCTAGTGGACAAATGAACCCGATGTATAAATAAGAATGAAATTCACAATTTTGGAAAAGTTTCTAAAAGCCGCCAAACTGGGACGATAATGTAGAAGTAATTTTCTCTTTCTTCCTTGTGGTTTTCCTTGCAAATCCCAAATCAGCACAGTCCAGAAAACAAGTCAGCTAACAAAACTTCCTCTGGGAAGGCCGGCTGTCCTACCAGCTGACTTTTGGCCTGATATTGCCAACCTGAGATTCACAGGGACACAAATTTCTCAACTCGGAAGTTGCCACCAATGGAAGGAATCCAGTTTGGCAACATCACCTTATCGCATTAGGCAAGGTGATCAGATCAGTCCGCTTTTGGGAAGTCCTCCTGATGTGAAAGGCGCTATACAAATTTAATTTTGTTGTTTATCTGTGTTGTTTCATGAGACCTCATTAAGTTAAGAACCTTGAAGTTAAGTTACGGCACAGGAAGTTGTTAAAACAATTGAAATTAATCTGGATACAAACCTGAATGCAGGCACCGGTCTTCAGTTTACAAAGGCTGCAGACTAACGACCATCGGCTTGGTGGAATGTGAGACACCTTTGTGATTGGTTCCATTCTTTCGGGGCAGGCAATACTGACCTGCAGGAACAATAACATTCATTATTTCTGAATCTTTTTAAAAAATCATCAGAACTGAACCTGATTTGTTTGTGGATTCGCCAACAAGCTTCAATTCTGTTCTGAGACAAGGCATGTTCAGAAGTGAAGGCATTCAAAGTCTTTTGAAAGTACAATATATACACTTGATTTTATATATGGTCTGAATGCACACTTACCTAAGCAAGGAGCATTCCAGGTTTCCTGACACTAATACAATAACACTAACAATTAAAAGTAATAAACACCCAGAAAAAGCAAATCATTTCTTGGCTGGATTCCGGAAGGAGATTGTGAGAATTTTTTCACACATAGTTGTTGGGACATGGAATGCCCTGGCAAGTAAGGTAACAGAGGCAAGTAGATAACAGATAAAGAGTTGAAGGTGTGATATCATAATCCTTTCATTTGATCTGGCGTCTTATCACGTCAAGACACCTCAAAGCACTTTCCTGTGAAATGGATTGACTGTGTATCTTTATTATTATTATTATCCATCTAACCTAATCTATCATATCATCATTATTATTATTATTTTGTGGGTGAAACACAGCAGCCAACTTGCACACGGCAATGTCCCACAAACAGCCATGGAGTGAGTAACCAATTTTATTTGGAGGATTGTTGCCCATGACACCGAGAGAGAGAAATTCCCTTCTCTTTTCGAATAGTGCCATGGGATCTTAAACGTCCAGGTGAAAAACCAGGCGAGACCTGTTTTAACGTGTCATCCAAAGGAAAGCACCTCCGACAATGCAACATGCCCCCAGCGCTACATTGGAGTATCATTCCAAGCGCTCTGGGACACTACCTGCATGAAGGGCGCTATATAAATGCAAGTTGTTGTTGTTGAAATTGTATGAACAACAACAATTTACATTCATATAGCAACCTTCACACCAAACTGTGTTTCGGAGCCTAATCTATCATTTTAGACTATGTGATTCCAAGTCTCAACGTGGGGCTTGAACCCACAAACTTCTAACTCAGAGGCAAGAGTGTTACCAGACTGACACTTGAGTGGGACAAGGCAGTGGGAAGGAATGAACAGCTTGCCCTGAGAGCCAATGCAAACTCAACTTCTGTGCTGTCAATTTTTACTATTTCAGATACGCCAAATGATTTAAAGGTACAAATGTACCATTTCAAAATCAGTAGCAAAAATTCATGTAGTAGTTTTGTGGAACTTTCCTGGTATGAAGCACATACACATTTTGAAAATCACAAGGATAATTTAATCATTAAAAATAGATACTGTATGTTGAAAACCCGAATAAATGACAACAGCTGGTCAGATTAACACCAGATAAGTAACCGGGATAAGACACAAAAATTACAATTCATAATGTAAATGCCCTTAGGAAACCACGAAATGAATATCTCAACTACAAGCTAAAATGTTTAACAATAACAGTGGGAATGTGAGAAAACTAGAGTAGCCTTAGTGACAGGGAAACAGCTGATTGGAACGTGGAATTCTCTGCCACAATCAGCTGCTGAAGCAGAACCCATACATTATTTACAAAGGGAATTAGTCACATACTCGAAAAAGAATATTAAAGACATGGGGAATGAGCAAGATAGTGGGATGAGACTATATGGCTCAATGGAAATTTTAAAACGTGAAGAGCAGAGAGACCTAGGGGTTAACATACCAAATTTTTTAAAAGCTTGAAGACAGGTGCACAAAGCTGTGAAGAAAGCTAAAGGGAATGTGTTTTATGAATAGGAGGCATTGAATATAAAATCAAAGAGGTCATGTTTAACCTGCACAAATCGTTAAGAGATTAAAGAATATTTGTGTCACGCACAATAGGAAGGTTGTCAGGACCGTAGAGAGGGTGCATAGAAGATTTAGTAGGATAATAGCATGAGTGGTTTAATCTATCAGCAGAGACTAGAAGAACTCGGTTTATTTTTAGGAATTGAGAAGATTAAGGGGTGATCTGAGAGAGGTCTTTATTATGAAGGGTTAGGAATGAGTCAACAGGGAGAAATTATTTTCAATGGTTGGCGAGTCAGGGACAAGAGGGCATCAATTTAGAATAATTACCAAAGGAGCAAAGGGGAAGATTAGGAGAATGTTTTCTACGTGTAAAATGCTGTACATGAAATTCCCTTGATAGGCAATGAAGGCAGCATCCATTTTATCTTTCAAAAGGGAGCTCGGGAATTATCTGAAGGAGATATTGGGGAAAAGTAAATGAATGGTACTGAATGAATTGCTCTTTCAAAGAGCTACACAGATTTGACAGACCTGCATCTAAGCTGTAACATTCTATGAACAAGAATTTGGTCTGAAATTCCTTTCACATTACTGTCCTTTCTGAAAAAAACGGTCTCAATACCAGTGGCTCATTTCTTTTGATATGCGAGGAAAGGGAGGATGAAATGGAGAAAGACAAAGGAGAATCCTTCCTACCCAATGGTGAAATTCACCAGAAAATAATTTGAACATGACGATGAGTCTTTTATAAACTAAGTAGCAATCAGCAGCATAAATATATATTTGAATATCAGCGAAGATTATGAGCTCAAATCCCAATCCAGAAATCGAACGTACAAATGCCTGACCCAGAGACAAGAGTGCTACCAACTGAGCTGACACATGAATTCATTTCATGTTCATTTCATTCGTTTCGCCACAAAATACACAGTCAATTCACTTTAGTCTGTTCTGTGAATCACTTTGAGACGTCTTGAAGACATAAGGCTCTATATCAAATGCAATGATTATTATTTGATATAGCGCCAAATCATGTCGAGATGTCTCAAAGCACTTCACAGAATATACGGTAGTGAATTGACTGTATATTTTATGCGTGTTACCTACTTAGTGCTTGGTAAACAGAGGTATCTGGAGTAAAGAAACTTGCCTCCTAAGGTTTTGCCGAACCCAGGTACCCTCACTTGCGAGGCGAGTGCTCTGACCAATACGCGATGGGACTCCACAATATGTTTAACGTTTGTAGGAACTAGTCTCTGTTTAAAGTTAACCTGAAGTTGATCTTACCTCAGGTATCCACAAGGCACAGCTGACGTGTGCCCACTTGGTCCCAGCACGTGTGGCTTTCATTGCACCACCTTGCTTCGGGCACAAGAGACACTGTGGATAAATTCCTAGTACACAAGTTCGACACAACCAGCTGCCTTCAGGCACTTTCAGAATTCCATAGCAAGCCTGAGTGAGAAAATAAATGTGTAGAAATAAAACATGGTGGTAAACAATAAAAAATGAACAGTTGCAATGTTAAGCTATATTCTGTAGCTGTTCACCAGTTCTTTGTTAATAGAAAAAATCCCACTCTGTACCAAATTCTGACTGATCTGGAGTTATAAAGATCACCTGCAACCATTGGTAAATAATATTTTCTGCCTCTCTTTTCAATTAACTGCAAGAACTCGGTAAAAAAACACATTTTTTTTAAAAAAAACTTAAAAGCCAGAAGTAAACCCACACAAACCAAGGATGTGTTTTACTGTGATAATAAATTAACTGCAGTGATCCAGTCAATCCTGTCAGTTAGCAATGGTTCTGCATCTTTTTACAGATTAGATCTGTAAAATAGATCAACTAAAAGAGAATTTCTCAACTCCTGAGGCTAAAAAAATTCCTCATGGTCTTAGAACTTACGATAGTGCAAAATTTTTGAAAGATTCTTAAATTAAACGAGCTTCAAAATTAAGATTGATTTCAAAAATTCTCCAATTGTAATGAAATTGCCTTAAGGATGAGATCCAAAGGGTTTTTGAGCCTCTGATACATACCATAAAATGAACAAAAATGAGTGTTCTTTTCTCAACCAGGACTACATTGGGAGGCTAGTTTAGGCCCAGCCTTCATAGTTTTAGGGAGAGGAAACCAGACAGGTCCTGATCCCTCTACAGCATGCTCTACTGATAGCATGTGACAGGTGAGGAGAGGTCAAACTCGATTGTGACTCCCTTTACAGTTGAGTGGCCTTCCGATATTCACTACCAAAGTTCACACAGTACAATGACCATTTGGACAAGGAAGGCAACTATCCCCCGCGGAAGCTCACCCAAGCATGAGGAAGCTCAGAAGCAGAGCATACGCCAATCGGGAGAAAAATCAGAAAATATTTGGACAATAATTTTATGATTTTTAAAAAAANTTCAAACTCACTTGATGGACACAGATATTACACCTATCGCAGAAGACCATCTCGTTGCCCTCCTCACTGTCAGGAGAGCGGCATACATCACAGATGACATCTTCATCATACTCGATTCCCAGTCCTTCCTCTGTCTCTATGGCATGGTTCATGTTTTCGTAGCACTGGCGTTCTAATGCTTCTATAGTTCTTTCCATAGTGTATTCATCAATCAAAGCACATCCTGCGTAGAAACATTTAGAGAGGTAATCTTTGAATGAGATAGTCTTGAAGTACATTAGAATAAACTCAGCAATCAAAAGAGAAGAACTCATCTCTTAAGGAGGTCTTATTTTCTCTGAAGCCACATTATTGATTCTCAATTCCATCTGACAGTAAAACATTGACCACTTACAAGACTCCAGTCCTGTGAAATATAAAAGGCAATTCCTCAATATTAACACTAAAATGTCAGAACTGTCTTGCACTCTTTTGCTTTGAGAAACAAATAATGCTCAAGAAATTTAAGGCTTTCTTTAAAAATACTGTAATTCCCTTTTGTTCCCCCAAATCTGGTTGGAAAGATGGAGGTTTTCTCTTACAAGGGAATAGCTCAGCCTGAACATCTTTGGAAGGTTCGGTCTAAGGAGCAAAGTGCCTGGGTAGCTGAGTGTACTCTTAAACAAGAGCAGCAACATCCTTGAAGTTACTTTGGAGTCGACATATTATCCAATACAAGTGAAAGCAAGATATACCTTTGGAAAATAGTGCCTTGGGAAGTACAGTGTACCCTCATCTAAAAAATAATATGAGTCCAGTCATATTAACGTGGTGGTTGGGATCCATAAAATCTCAAACCAGCACTAGAATAGGGCAGAATCGCTAAGTCAACATTTTCACATTCACTGTACTTGTACATGGAGTCTACACACTTGTTGAGTCTACATACTATCCACCAATGGAAAGGAATGGTTCCCTTCAGTAAGGGGCAAAATAAAAGATTTTTTCATTGAGAGCCCTGTCTGGCAAACTTTCCCACAGCTTGTCCAGCAAGGATCGTCCTACCCATTAGAACTCTGGCTGCGGAGTTAACAGAAGCTGAATGGGAAGAATCCCTGCTCTCAGTCATGGCGATTTTATATTTTCAAAACTGATGTGCCCAACGCTGTGAAGTAATGCGTTTGTATTACCATAAACTTGCGCTCACCCATTTCCTTTAGTTCTTCATTTAGTGCCTGTAACCAGTAAATGTCCACGTTATCCAAGTCATAACGGCACATAGTGTCTGCAAGTTCCAGGATGTTAACATATCCAGGGTCTGAGGTTTCCAAGGTAGAATAGCGGATATATTTCCGGGGTTTGGTAAACAAAGTCTCCTTCCCTTTTTCCACAATCACTCTAAGATAGTTGAACATAAAATGAAACTTAACACACGCTCAATCTACAAGAGGACAAATTAGTTTTAGGTTCGATCAAACGGTTTACTAAGCAAAGGTGAACATCCAATTCACTTCTCCAAAATATTCAATATGACTGTTTACACTATTTCGATCATTTTAATTACTATTAATTACACAACATACAGCCCAGTCCTGTTATAATGCACATCAACATCACCCAAATTTGCTTACAACACAATTGCACTGCAGACACAATTAATTAAGTATGAACGCAGCCAGCCCGCTTGCTGCCTGTGCATTGGCTAGCTTTTGCAGTAAAATCAGCGAAATCCAAGTCGATATCACTTCATGGTTTGTGGCACATACACAAATGACCCAGACGGAGGACTCGCTTTACTCAGGAACTGTAATACCCAGTCCACCACAGAGGGTCGGCTCGATTCTGACATTCCTTTGCCAATCATCTCACATTGAGAGTCAGTTCAGCTCTAAGGAGACTCTGCTCACCTTCCCCCAGGGGAATCGTCATAGTCAGTTATTTATAAAATGGCAAACTTTTGACCCATCAGATTGGTACTGACATCACTTCATGTTTTGCACACATGCACCAAACAGGGTGCAACATTGGTGATGACTTGATATCTCAGAAATCAGTATTTTTCTTTTGATAACCAGCGAGTATGCAAGAAGCAAGCTGGTTGGCTGTGTGCATGCATACAAAGTCTGGCTCTATGTAATGAAAATTGATATTTTGTAGATCCCAAACACCACTTAATAACAGGACATTTACCACAAACTGCGAGAAAGTTGAGAGATATGCCGAAAACTTTGAACCAGCAACTGGGTGACTCAATTAACACCCGAGCAATTCTTGTATTAAAAATGCTCACAAAAGCATTTGCAGCTGACTGGCTGATTGTTTCCTTTGTTTTAACCAAATAAAAGACAGCTGGTACCTGACTGATGGATCTGGGATAGTTTCTGGGCTGGCAGGAACCTGAACTCCCTTTTCCCATTCCTGTTTCCATTGATCAGCCAAGAGGTAGAACTCATCCTGGTTCACATGGTGGGAGTCTGGAATCTTCATTGCACTGATGAGATCCTTCCTGAATACCTACAAAACCAAGCCTGACTAATTAAGATCAGCACAATGTGTTGCACAGCAAAGCCTTGTGCTTAGTCATTGCAGTAAGCAGGTTCACAGCCACAATTCTTATGATTCCATAACTCCTCACAGGATTGAGTTATTAATCAATGTCTCACAAAGCTAGTGGATAGGTGTTAAGCAATAGTCAAGAGACATGTGCACACCCTCTACTTCATTCTCTCACCCAGGTACAGCTGGATAGAGGGGAAGGAGAGAAAATTATGAATTGCTCAAATGCATCTTTCCTAAAAAGGAATAATGGTAAAAAAAAGTTACAAATTCTCACCATCACAAATCTATTTGTTAAATGTTTTGTTAACACAATTACTATGGCCATCAGTGTATATATATATTTTATATTAATTAAATATATTTCACATACTATAATTCAAATGACAAACCAGACAGTCAATTGGTGGCTTTCAATTCACCAATGAAATTAAAGGACAAGACATAATAAAACCACTGCCAGCCTGGCTCAGTTGGTAGCATTCTAGCCTCCCGGTTAGAAGGTTGCAGGTTCAAGACTTTGAGCTCAATGGCTAGGCTAGCATTCCAGTGCATAACCATAAGGGAACTCTACAATGTTAGTATTAAACCAAGATCCAGGATTAAGACATTACTCCTGATCTTCTAGATTGCTAATTACTCTATATGAAGGGACCTATTTAATGATAATCCTTGCATTAGATATAGCATCTTATTACATAGTTGAGATGTCTTAAAGCGCTTCACAGAGTATACTGTAAAATGGATTGACAATGTATATTATATTTCACCCACAAAATACAGTCACCCCACTTTACAGTATATTCTGTGAAGCACTTTGCAATGTCTCAATGATGTGATGAGGCACTATATCTAATGCAAGAATTATTATTATTATTGTGTGTAATTCAGATATATTAATCATGGCTTTGTTCAAAAAGAGAAGTTTCTTTTAGCATTTGGGCTAACAATCCCTCAGAAAAAAATCACTTTCTGACTGTTTGTGTTACATTGCTGTGGGTAAACTGACTGTTGCCTACAAATATACAGTCACTACACATCACAGTAAATTCTGCAAAACACTTTTTAGACGGCGATAATGTTAAGTCAATGGTAGGGTGCTGTATAAAATACAAAGATTATTATTACCTTCTCCATCCTGTGTTTTGTCACCCCCTCTGCTCAACAAATTCATCTGCTGCACTTGCCTCACCACCTCCACCCCACCAGTGCCGGTTGTGCCTTCAACCAGAATGGCCCCACCCTCTGAAACTCCATCGCTGAATCCCTCCGCCTTGTCCCTTCTTTGACTTCAAAAGCCATCTTAATTACCCAGCGCTTCGATCATGTGCACTGTTACCTCCCTCCTCCCCCTGCCTGGTGTTTGGCATCATTTCTGTAAAGTGCTCCAAGACATTACTGTATATGAAGGGCCCTGTATAATAATAATTCTTGATTAGATATACACCTTATCACATCATTGAGACGTCTCAAAGCACTTCACAGGATATACTGCAAATTGGATTGACTGTGTAATTGGGTACCTGCAATTCATTGTTGGAAAACACTTAACCACATTTGTGAGTTCACCACAATACTGACCTGACTTTAATACGGGTTTCCACAATAGTCAGTTCACTTATCGCAGAAGTCATTTAGTATAACAGTATCAGAAATTGCTAATATCAAAATGATCTCTTAATCCAGGATCTCAAATTGCTTTCACCAGTTCAACCAGAGCTCAAAATCCTATCCCCAGGAAGTTTGGATGGACAAAATCTATAATTGACATCTTGGGTATTTTTTCACATCAAAAGGATATAATAGTATTTCACAAGCCGATCATTGTGTCTTGAAATTGCAGTAGTACTCCTGCACTGGACTGTAATTAGTCATGTTCAAAATGGTCATCCCAAAGGAGTCAAAGAAAGGGTGTAATTTTCTATCATGTGTTTTAATCCCAGCACCTAGGGAGGTCCTCCAACACTAAATACAAATCTAGAATGAGTGACAGGCTATATGTGATGGACTAACCTCAGCAGATTTCTTCTTCTCACGTTTTGAGGGATGTTGGTCGTTCCTGTACTTGTAGTGGGAGGACCACGAAGTTGAAGGACCTATTACGGAAGTAGCAATAAATGTGATTACAAATACTAAACATAGCAGAAGGCTGGGGTGAGTACAGTATAATTAAAGGGTTCTGTTAAAATGATATCCGATAATGAAACAGGACCAGTTTCACAGAAATCGCGCTCAACATTATGTAGAAATTTTGAATTAAATAGGATTTGTTGAATGATGGGCTCAGATCAGAAAAAAAACTAAATGATGAGATTTACATCATAAGAAAAATAGTAATTGTTGTCAATATAACAAGTCGTGTGACAGGAGAAGCTTTACAAGAATGCTCATATTATACACACAGATGCCCTTTCTGTATTTGGGCATAGAAACCTGTAGCTCCGTGGTTAGAGCACTCGCCTCACAAGCGAGACCTGGGTTCGATTCCTGGCAGGGCAAAATGTTGGGCAAGTTTCCCAACACGCCTCTGTTTACTTAGCAGTAAGTAGGAACCCGGTTGTTAAGGCAATTGGCGGATCGCTTTTCTAGGGGTAATAATTAGTTCAAAAAAAAAATATTGGTCATTTCAAACCATGGTTGTTTGTGGGATACTGCTGTGCGCAATTGGCTGCCATGTTTCACCCACAAAATGTACAGTCAATTCACTTTACAGCATATTCTGTGAAGCGTTTTCAGATGCCTCGAAGACATGATAAGGCACTATATCAAATGCAAGGATTATTATTATTTGACCCATTTTTCCTTCAACTGGGGACACAGTACTACAGGTATCCTAAGTGTTAATCAGGCTCAGTCAGTAGCATTCTCGCCTCTGGGACAGAAAGTTGTGGGTTCGAGCCCCATCTAAAGATTTTGAGCTTACCGCCTCAAATGTAATGCTGGCAGAGAGCTGCATTATTGGAGGTGCTTGCTGTCGCTTGTAAGAGACATTAAACTGAGGGCCCGTATGTATCTGTTCACATGGACGTTAAAGATTTTTTAAAAATATCTAATCCTGACATTTGATACAGGATCTTTCATGTCAGGCACTCTGCTCATCTAACTCCACAATAATATCTCAGGATACAGCATATATTTTGGGACATGACATGAGGATATAACTGCCAGGACGGACCTTGGTTGTTTTTTATCTAGCAACTCTTAAAACAGGAATTGAAATTTGCAATTACGCAGAAACCAAGAGCAGAGATGGGAAAGTACTTTCAGAAAATTCTAGAATTTCTAGAAAATTCAAATGGAAGGAAATTGATCTGAAATGGACACTATTTGAGACTGGCCAAAGGATAAGAGTGTTAAGTTTTACCTCGACCAACATGACATAGAAGTTGCAATTCATAAATCTCAAATTGATCATCTATGGGAGAAGAGGAAATGGTTCAAGTTTCAATCGTAGTCTCGATGCGACATCAATAGAGATGCCTCAACCCACTCTGAACTGATCCTTCCATTTGGTAAAAACTACTGATCTAACAGTTCAGCGCATTGTATATCTTAAATTTCTTGGATATTTTCCAATGAGGAATTTAGGTCTATTCAAGTCCCACCTTCTTTAGATAACCACCAGCTCACAGGTACATTCTGAAACCTCACACGTTGGCCCAGCAATACGTCCACCCACGCACTTCAGCATGAGTTGCACATTTTTACACAATATTTTTATAGCTTCTTTCATTTGAATGGATATCGTGTAATGGGTCCAACCTAAAGATTTTTTTCCCCTCAGGAGCTAGATTGAGACAATCACCTAAGCCTTGTATTGCAAATAAGTTTAACATTCCAGAGGAAAAATAGAGGATAGCATTATCAGGACAGATCGATGTGTCGAGAAAAATACAATACATTTCACATCTATATAGCGGGAGAACATCTCAAAGTGCTTGACACTATAATCTGGGCATCTGAGCTGTGAACCAAAGAGGGTGGGGAGGAGAAAAACAATAGCGGGATCAAAGAGGTAAATCTTGAGGCAGGTTATGAACCTGGAGTGGGTGGGAGTGAGTCGGAGGAACTGAGATGTTCAGAATGGCCAAAAGCTCATCTGTCGATGGTTGGGTGGACAGGGTGGGGGAACTGAAGCAGGCCAGTATTCACCGAGGAAAGTGAGCAGCCAGGTCAGTAATTTAGTAGGTCGCGGAAGTAAGGAATGTGAAGCCAGTAAAGCCGAGTGAGGTTGAGGGCAATAGACTCACAGAGCCTTGTGCAGGAAAGGATATGGGCTGCAGAGTTCTGGTAGATCAACAACCTTGTATAGGGAGAGCTGGGGAGTCGGGCAAGCAGGATGCTGGCATAGTCAAGTCTGGACATGATTGAGGGTCTCAGCAGCCAGAGGCAGAGGTCGTAGCAAAAGTGGCAATAATATTAATAAAATTATAATAATCCTTGCATATGGTCCAAAGTGCTTCACGGAATTTTAATTTGAAATGTAGTGACTGTGTATTTGTAGGTAAAGACAGCTAACCAATTGAGCATAAGAATGAAACAAATGACTAATTTTATTTGAGGGGAAATTGTTGACCAGGACACATGGACAAACTTCCTTTCCTTCTAGAGTAGTGACAGGACATCTTTAATGTCCACCTAAATTAGCAAATGGGGCCTCGGTTTAATGACTCATACGAAGGACAGTACATGAACAATGCAACACAGCCTCACCACGTCAATAGTGTGTCAGTTTAGACTATGCAATTTCAAAGTCCCGAGGTGGGGCTTGAACCCATAACTTCGACTCAGAGGCAAGAGAGGCTGACACACTGGCAATTTGGAGTCCTGTAAGCTCAGTGGTTAGAGCACTCGCTTTGCAAGCGAGAGACCTGAGTTCAATTCCAGGCAGAGGGCGAAACCTTGGGCAAGTTTCCTTACTCCACACAGAGCCTAATAATAATCCTCCAAAACCAAAAACAATAATAAATTGGTCATTTTCAATCTACGACTGTTTGTGGGACATTGCTGTGCGCAATTGGCTGCCGCGTTCGCCCACAAATATACAGTCAATTCACTTTACAGTGTGTTCTGTGAAGCGCTTTGGGACGTCCTCCCGACGTGAAAAGCGCTATATCAAATGCAAGGATTATTATTATTATTATAATGTGACAAGAGTGAGGGAAAGCAGAGCGAGTAAGAACCTGGATGTGGGGTTTCAAGGTTTCAAAGACGTTGGGAGTTAAAGTAAAACACTTGAGATTTCACACAACTCCGCAATTGGAGAGAGTATCCATACAGGGTAATGCCACCTGCACCGGAGATGAAAAGGCACTGATGAGAGCTAAACAAAAGAGCCTCAGTCATGCTTACTTTTAACTGAAGATAGTTAGAGATTATCAAGGACACGCTCTCCCAAATGCAATCTCTCAGAATAGTAGTGGTCCTGGAGTCGAGGGTAGAAGCAGAGAATGGAGCTGGGTGTCATCGCGTTTAAAATAACAGATAATCTCACTTACTTTCATTGTCTGAACTGTCACTGCTGCTCAAGTGTCTGTGGCGTTTCATCCTGTCATATCCTTCAATAAAAGGAAGAGGTTCAGTTTTCGAGTGATGCATTAAACAGATGAAATAATTCAATGTTTCAGTGGATATTTAAAGTTATAAATTCAACTTACCATAAATTCAAAGTATATGCACATACTAATTCAATATTGTAGAGCAAGTGTTGCTTCCATCATCCACAAAGTTGCTCTGCAAAGAAACAAAAACCCTAAGTAAACCATCTGGTTATAATACTCAGTCAATATTTTACATCCTCCAGGATTTATAAATGTACTTCACAGGTGCTGGTGACTCAACCACTTTGTATTTTTCTGCAAATTGTACATTTGTTTGACTTTTAAAAAGGTCACATGAGAGGCCATTTTAAATAAGGCAAGTTTTGTGAGTCAGAACTGTTCTATTCCACTTAATGGATCTGGCATATACAATAACAACCTTCACTTATATAACGCCCTCCACACAGGGTAGTGTCTCAAAATGCGGAACAGTGGCGGAACCTGACTCCGAGTTGGGGGGGGGGGGGGGGCGGGGGGCGGGACGGACGGATGTAAGCACAGTAGAAAAGGAAAGTTTTCAGGTGGGACTTGAAAAAGGGGAGAGTGGGGACAAGGCGGAGGGATTGAGGGTGCGTTCTAGAGTTTCGGGGCGCAGTGGCTGGATGTGGTACTTTCAACTGATTTGCACAAGTTTTATTTGCCCTAACTGTCCCTTACTGATCCACAGCATTTAACCAGTTCTATCAGTCTCTAACCACATCACACAGGTGCAACGCAGGTTACAATACAATAGAATATTGAGAACGCAGGAATCAGTTTACTAACAAAAACAAGATTGTCACAGGAGACTAACATGTTGCAACTAATTAAGTTACTTGTCACAATGACAGATAACATGAAGTACACAACTAAGCACTGAATAAAAAAAAACTCAAAAGTGCGATAAAAAAGGAACACTGAACATCTTCGGTTTCAAATGACTCTTCCCTGTGGTTCTGATTCTGCCAGTTGGCCTGTCTTTCTCAATGAATGGTGCTCGAATCCTATGTGCTGGTGATTTCATTACAAATGAATTACGTGAAGTCCGAATTGTACTGTTACTGTGAAGCGCTCTGAGACGCCGTCCGGCGTGGAGGGCGCTGGATAAATCCAAGTTGTTGTTGCTGTTGGCAAAGTTGTATAAATTGTATAAAATCTGATTTAATCAATAATCTACACAGCGTGTGCCAGTAAGTGTACGTCCTTTGACAGGTCAAGACTACATTTCCCACGGTTCAATTAATCTGGATCCGTCGCTTCATGCGCACTTACCGGCAAGCTTTGGAATGGTACTGAATCGTGGGAAATTATATTCCTCTGCGCTTTCGGATCAATCTACATTTCCTGCAATTTAATATATGTGGGTATGTGCCGACGAGTCAGGACGTCATTTCCCGAGATTCAATTCAGCCGGTAAGTGCTAGAGTAATGGGGGACAGGGAAGCTGTGTTACGACTTCATCAATATGACTATAGCAAAGAAATCTGATGGTTTTGGTAGGAACCTGAACATTACTTGGGTGCATGTACGATTTAGATTATACGATTTATAAAGATAATAATAATCCTTGCATTTGATATAGCGCCTTATCACGTCTATGAGACGCAACTCAAAGCGCTTCACAGAATATATTGTAAAGTGAATTGACTATATATCTTGTGGGCGAAATGCGGCAGCCAATTGCCCACAATCGTGTCCCACAAACAATCGTGGATTGAATGCCCAAATTATTTTTTTAAAAGGGATTATTACCCCTGGAAAAGCGGTCCGTCAATCGACTAACAACCAGGTTCCTACTTACTGCTGGATGAACAAAGACTTATGCAGGTTTTACTGTGGCTCTCTCTCTCCTATTGATGAATGATGAGTGATATGAAATATCAGGGGAAGGGAGGGTGAAGGTTGCAGGATAGAAAAGGGTTACTGCTAGATGGTTACACAATTAAATCAACAATAGTGCCTTCTATGAAAGAATTATTTAGTGCCTTCTATGAAAGAAGTGTCTCAAGCACTTCAAAATACGTTGATCTAGACTTTAGTGTATTCTGTGGAGCACTTTGAATCATCTTTTCATCGGTAAAGACACTATATCAAATGTAAGGATTTTGTTTTATTACAATGGGACTGAAAGGATTGCTCTTAAAAGAGCCAGCACAGACCCAATAGGCCAAATTGCTATCTTCTGTGCTGTAAATTTCTGTAGTTCTATGGATGATGTAGAAAAAAATCATAAATCCATAAATTCACTGCCCTCTGAGTGAAGAAATGTTTCCTCAACTCTGTTCTAAAAGGCTGACCCTTAATTTTAAGACTGTGACCCCTGGTTATGGATTCTCATACCGGGGGAAACAGACCCTCAGCTCTACTTTATCAGCCCTTTAATAATCTTATATGTTTCAATAAGATCTCCCCTAATTCTTCTGTACTCTGGAGAATACAGCCCCAGTTTATTCAGCCTCTCCTCATAGGTCAGTCCCCTCATCCCAGGCACTAACCGAGTGAATCTATGCCGCACCCCCTCCAGTGCAAGTATGTCCTTTTTTAAATAAGGAAAACAAAACTGCACACAATACTCTCGGTGCGGTCTCACCAAAGCCCTATACAGTTGCAGCAAGACTTCCCTACTCTTGTACTCTAAACCCTTTGCAATGATCGCTAACATGCCGTTCGCCTTCTCAGTTGCTGCTGCACCTGCAAACTAACTTTTTGAGACTGGTGTACAAGGACACCCAAATCCCTCTGAACACTAACACTATCTAATCTCTCCCTCTCTAGAAAATAATCTGTTTTTCTATTTTTGCTACTTAGGTGAATAACTTCACACTTCCCCACATTAAATTCCATCTGCCACCTACTCGCCCACTCCTCTCGCCTGTCTATATCCCATTGCAATCTTTTTGCATCATCCTCAGAGCTTACTCTCCCACCGAGTTTAGTGTCATCCGCGAATTTAGATACGTTACATTCAATGTCCTCGTCCAGATCATTGATGTAAATTGTAAATAGCTGAGGCCCAGCACTGATCCTTGTGGCACTCACTAGTCACATCCTGCCAATTCGAGAATGACCCGTTTATCCCTACTCTCTGTTTTCTACCCGTTACCCACTCTTCAATCCATGCTAATATGTTCCCATTAATCCCGTGGGCCTTAACCTTGTGCAATAGCCTTTTGTGTGGCACTTTGTCAAATGCCTTTCTAAAACCTAAATATACTACAGCTACTGATTCCCCCCTATCTAACCTGCAGATACATCTTCAAAAAACTCTAAAAGATAGTTAAGCGTGACTTCCCTTTGTAAAGCCATGTTGACTCTGCCTAATCTTGTTATGGTCTTCCAGGAATCCCATAACGACATCCTCAATTAAGGACTCAAGAATTTTCCTCCCACTGATGTCAGACTAACCGGTCTGTAGTTCCCCATCTTTTCTCTCCCACCCTTCTTAAATAGTGGTGTGACGTTTGCGATCTTCCAATCAACACACACACAAAATATTTAAATTGTGCCCTTTATTTTTTAAAGTTATTAAAGAGCCGGTCATATCAGCTGCTCGTAGATTTTAAAAGTCTGCTGACAGTTTCTGATCCAGACAGTTCGAGTGCTATGAAAGGAACATGGGGGAGCGAGCATAATAAAATTTGAAACTCACTAGATTTGTTTTACATAAGTGTGAATCATACTACTCCTGAAACCACCTTCACCAGGTTTCAAGAGCAGGACTCCAGCACAATTCACGCTGAGCCCACGTCTCAGGCTCTGCATTTTCCTTAAATTACAATTAATGCAGCACTTCACCATTACATGTGCAACCTAAATGTAACATTTGTTATATTTTAGGATTCAGGCATATGCTTCCATCACTTCTTGTGCTGTTGCGCATCTTACTTTGATAAACTGTGTCATGCTCACATGCTATTCCCTGTAGCTATATTATTGTACGCTCTAGCCTCTGTGTTTCAGAATTCACTGCCTTGGTTAAACAGCTTGTTAATCTCCCTTGGTGGCCACACAAACCAGGAAAGGCCTAGAGTTCAATTAATGACCTGATCTCCACCAGAGCACTACAAATAAATTGAAGATTTCTTCTCCTGATCATCATCCATACCACTAAAGGGGAAAGTGCTTGTGTATTGGAATTAGATGTACTCAGCTATGTTGTTCTCCCTCGCAGGTCTGAAGAACCTGCTGTCAGAGTCCAGAATTATAAATGAAGAACGCCCACTTAGATGAAGAATTGAAGGCCTAACAGTACGCATGGAACAGCACCACAGAACAAGTTAACACCTTCAAGCAAAATTGTTGTAGAACAAGCAAAATTGAGCAATTGATAGATTTGATATTTTGCTCCTGAATTTGTAAAACGTGGTACGTGTACATTTTCATATCAACGTTCAAGAGGCACATCTCATTTTCACCACCTTCTGCTTAGTTAAATTGACTTTCTGTGGTGACCACATATATCATTTTGTTAAGAGCCCAACATCCACTTTTTGGTTTTCTAACACTTCAGTCACCAAAGGTTGGATCAAAACTTATAAATGATGCAACCATAACCCATTTTGTAATGATCAAAAAAATTCTATACCCAGAATTGAAAGAAGCCCCAATAAGAACTCTTGTTAATCAAAAAGCTCCCCAGAAATCAAACGCTCCAGTTGGGTCCAAAAAGGCAGTTATTACACATCTCTACTGTAAGCACTGGTCATCACTCAGAAACAGTCACTGGCAAAACGTGAGTAATTGCAGAACGTGAGTAATTGTCCAACCCCCACAGCTATTAAATCATTCTATTCCTCAAAGACCTATAGTAATTTTCTCCATCAATCTAAAAAAAANTCAAAAAATTTCTACTCCGCATTTATAATTTTAAAACGGTGTATGTTAACATTCATTCAAACAGAAAAGGTAATAATCACATCAGTATAGGATAACAACATTTCATAAATGGAACCCACTGAGCTCAATCTGCATTGACCTGCTTGCAGCACTTGCTGCATGGTGCACGAGAAACACTTTACAGGGGAGAATCATCGATATATAGTAATAATCCTTACATTTGGTCTTGCACCTTTCACATCAGGACATCGGAAAGCGTTTCACAGGAAAGAAAATCAGTGCCTGTGTTCATTTTGTGGGCTTATACAGCAATTCATT